CTGAAAAGTACTACCTGCAGTTAAACTAAGTGAAAATACATAGGAAAGCTAGTTGGTAGCTCTTGTGTGTAACCAGCTTTTTCCCAATAAAATAATCACAGATGTAACATAGATGAGACCATGTTACATACCTTTGTAACAGAAATAATATTGCAGTTGATGAGGTTCTGTAGGAAGCAAGAAAACAATAAGTTCACAGTTCACTTCAGAGAGTTGCAGCATATCTAGGTAACACGGTGAGCAATTCCAAATGGAAAGCTTTCTAGCAAGGCAGCTGCTCTTAGACACCCTTTGACTCCAGCTGTCACTGACTGTGCCTATGATGTGGGATACTTAAGGCAGGTGGCTCCCAATTCCTTTTATTTTAAACATGCCATTCAAAGGTGTTTTGCATGCCTTTGACTTTGGATCCTACATTTTGCTCAGCCTGATCCTAGGACATGGTGTTCAGGCAGTGATGGCACCAGCGCACCATGCTGGACTCAAATCGACAGCAAATTATGGGGGTGCCAGGCTGAGACCAAGTGGCTCTCGGTCACAGAGATTGCTCTGTGCAGCAAAAGCTCTTCCATGTAGAGATGTCCTCCCAGGAAGAGCAAACACAAGTCACAGCAGCAACAAAGGTGTCATCAAACAGCTACAGCTCTGAGGGAAACAGCCTGCTTGGGGACCTCTGATTTATATGTAAACCTGTCTTGAGACAGGTGTTAGCAAGAAATACATTTGGAAACTCTGGGGTTTTTCACAGCTAATACTATAGAAGTAAATAACAAGAAGGCAATTAAAAATTTGATCACATCCTCAATCCTGTCAAACTATTCGACATGTGCCAACTCATCCCTCCCAAACCCGCCCCAAACAAAAGAAAAAAAGGGAAAAAAAAGAGTAAACTGTGTTTGAACGAGGTTTGTTTTTAAATTTTTTTTCACATACTTAAGCAATGGTGTTCCAAATAAATTAAGTTTTAATAATACTAACAAGAACCCAACACTTCAGCTGTGGCTGTGACAAGGCTGGACCCCATTACATTACAGGTGAACAGTGAGTGAGAAGGGCTGCTGAGCCCTGCTACAACCAGGCCAGCTGGGCTCTCTGTAATTTATCTGAAACCTACCATTCTTTTCCTCTTGCAAGTGCTTCTGAGCATTAAAAACAAATTAAAATACGCTCCTTCAGGCCCTACTCTTTTCCCACTCAACTGTTACATAGTTAAACAGGTGCCAGTTGTAGCAGGAGCAGAATCTGTCCCTTGTTAAGCGGAATTACCGTTCCTCATCGTTATACTAGAAGTACACACCCATAGAGTAATCCTACCTCATCTATGTCAGGTCCATTAAGGAAGCGGCATGGAAGGGGATTATGAAGCATTCCAACATTGTTAACTAATCAAAGGAAAAATAACGATAAGAATCAAATCTAGATGAAGTGCATAGTTCAGCTAGTTAAACAACTGTATTCTCCTTGAGACTCAGAAGCTTTTGAGCTCTATGTGAAGAGAAATGCTTTGAATCTTGTTCTCACGGCAGTCATTGGTACTAATCAGGACTGACTTCAGGGAGAGAAAAATAGTCTGTTGCTACAGTTCAGGGTATTGTTTCTTTGTTTGAGTGTTGTTGTTTCATTTGTTTCACTATTAAAAGGATTATTCGCTTTACACACACACACACACACACACACACACACACACACAATTTCCCCCAAAACCTGCATTTTCATTGTTGCCATGTGGATGGTACCAATTAGCGTTAGCCACAGGCTCCTCTCAGATTAAGTATAAGAATTGCACACAGCTGTAAAACAACCAATAGCGAAAACTAATTCCTTGAGGCCAAACAGGCAATAAGTCACCCCACAAGCTGGACACTGCTTACAAAGCAGCAGAAGAGATTTCACAGTAAAGAAACCACTGTAGAAAGATACAGAAAGCCTTTGGAGAATCTTATTTCCCTTTTAAAACTTCTCTATAACTAATGCTCAAATGCATTAGGAAGCTGTACGGTTGGTTTTAAGTGTTGGCTAGCAAGTTGTTATGACGCATAATTTATACAATCCTCTGTTTAATACACTGCAGCCATAAAATATTCTTCAATTAACAGACTTCAGTGACTCACCCAGAACACCAATATCCAAACCTTGCAGACTTTTTTCAATGCTCTCATATACTGAATTTTTTGTGAAATCAGCTTGTATAATCTTCACCTTTTGACCAGTGGCCTGCTCTGCAATTAAGAAAAAAACAGAAAACCCCTTTGCATCTACTCAGAGAGAGGGGAAAGCTGTAATTAAATAATGAGAGAAACAATCAGACGTCTCATTTAGTAATGTCTGCTGTACAGTAAGCAGTTGTTTTAATTTTATTGCTTTAGAAACAGCAAAGCACAAGAAAAACACTCTCACTGTACCCAGTTGTTTTCAAGGAAATGGTCTGGCAAATATAAGATGAATTTATGCCTTGAAATCAGTGGAAGTTCCCTCACAAAATCTAAGCACCATTTGGTTCCTCAGCAAGAACAATATCCCAGAAATAAACAATACAGGAGTTCTCCCCCTGGTTATCATAATATTTATAAATGAACACTGTCAGCATACATTAAATAAGTGAACGTCGGTGCCAGATCTTCTACATAAGCACAGTTTTGCAGAACTGTTTTAAAGTGTTTTCATGTATAAGATGAACATATTAACAAGCGAAGATTGTATTTTGCTGTAGGATGATGGGAAAACAGAGCTGGATGTGATGCAGTATTTTCTGCATTAGCTTCAAACAATTGCTCCCCTATTTTGACATTTGCATTTCACAGACAGAGTGTTGCCTAGGATTTTGCAGGACTAAAAGGCATTTAAGGAAGGGTACAGCTTAAATTTTACAAGGTAAACTTACACAAAAGGGAAAGGGAAATGTGTATGATTTCTCCAGTGTCACTGGTATGCAAGAGCGGAGCTGAGCTGTACATTAGCATTTTTCCCAGCAGTTGATTCATTGCTGTTCATATTTTCAATGAAGTTTCATAAGTAAAAGAGGTAGAGGCTCTTACTTACTCATTTTAAAGGCAAAGTTCCCCTTTAAAGGGGCCCAGTAAGGTTTCCTCTAACTAGATGCTCACACTGTAAATTCTTCCTACTAAACCTGCTTTCAAGTTTTATGGGCAACCTGAAATCCAGATGAAGTTCATTGAAAAAGCGACAAGCGAAGCTTGGATAAGTCAGTAGGTGACAGGACTGCAGATTCTCTGCAAGTGGCAGTAATTCAGGTGCCTGTGGATGGCAGAAAATCTGCTTTTTGGTCCTGTTTGGGAAACTTTATGCTTTTTTGGAGCCTGATTTTCTCATGCAGGCAACAGGGAGTGCTGCCTTGAATGGGAATCACTCTCTACCTTCTACTCAGAAACTTTGCCTCATTCCTGCATACATGTAGAATTTAGGAAGAGGCCTTGCTCCAGCTTGTGTGGGATTGCAAAGCTGGCAGAAAGCTGGCTTTGGTCCAGCAGACCAGTTTGCAACAAAACAGAGCCTGCATTGGAGGGCATCGGGATGTTGTTCCCTCCTGGTTGTTTCCTCATTGCCCCTCACTACAGTGCAAGCCTCAACCACTTTAGGCTACCCAAGCAACACAAGTGGTCTGAGGAAACAGCAGGCTCTCTGACTCCAGATCTGAAATGTGGGGTGTGTCTTGTGTGCAATTTTAAAGGGCATCTGTCTCCATGACAGAACAAAGGAAGAAGGAATGCCCTTTTTCTTGCCCTCTTTCCAAGCTGCAATTGTATGTATTAAAGGGGCAAAATAGCCTTTGAATCTTCAACCTATAAAAGCAACTCAAGTGGCAAATTACCCCCAAGTAGTCCCTGGCTGGGGGAATGGTGCAACTCTACAGAAAAGTATATTGTGACTATAAATGCAGTAAAGTAGAGCAACAGCTGGAGTAGACACCTACAGTGACCTTCTCACTGAAGATCTCTATAAAAAAAATAAAAAAAAATATGAGATGGTCTTAAAAACTGTAGTGATGTGGTGGCCGTCTTTCTTGCAGGCAAGAAGGGCAGCCAAAACTACAGCAATATAAAAATGAGGATCAAACAAACCATTTGGACTTTTTCTGCATCTCCTTGTCTGTACAGAACTGTACTGCTGCAACCAGCACTGTCAGCCAACAAACAAGTACTCCAGATGGCTTTTCTCTGTCTCTTTTAAGAATAAAACAATATATTAAAAAGCAATAAAACTATAATGCTGATAAATGAATTATGCAGGGATAGCTCTTCAGAAAATGATAACGATTCTGCAAAGGAGACAGCCAAAAAATAACTTCCAATGTTTCTTTTGTCTCTCCCTCTTTGTGACAAAGACTTATGACAGTCTTTGGAGACAGGAGCCATTCCAACTCTTTTTAAAAGTCCTGAGCATGTCAGAAGAAAAAAGCTCTAAGTTTTCAAACCAAATCAGAGCAGGTTATTGTCTTTTCTAAAAATTAAGAAAAAATTAATGTAAGGAAAATTAGAATCTGGAACTGAGTTTAATCCAATGTGTTACAAAATGTATCATTAAGAAGGATACATCTAACTCTTTCTGACCTCAGATCACTTGGGAATCCCACTTGTCAGACAGGATGATATGCTGCCTTATAAAATTTACTGAGAGGAGAATAAATCAGGAAGAAGCACAAAGCTGGTTAGGACATGCAGCCTGCCAGAATCTCTCCTTTTCTGTTTAGAGAGTTATGAAGAGCTGAAAACCTGAGTAAGAACTGATCTTTGTAGGAAGATGAGACCATTTTGAAGTAGAATCATAGAATTATAAAATCGTTAAGGTTGGAAAAGACCTTAAAGATCATCAGGTTCCAACCTCCCTACTGTGAACCTCACGCTAGACCAGGTTGCACAAAGCTTCATGCAAAATGGCCTTAAACACCTCCAGGGAGGTGTCTTACTACCCTCATGGTGAAGAATTTCTTCCTGATGTCTAACCTAAATCTCCCCTTTCTGTTTAAAACCATTACCCCTTGTCCTATCACTACCCTCTCTGGTGAAAAGCCTCTCCCCATCTTTCCTGTAGGTTCCCTTCAGGTGCTAGGCTGCTATAAGCTCTTCTTAGAGCCTTGTCTTTTCCATGCTGAACAGCCCCAACTCTCTCAGCCTGTCTTCATAGCAGAGGTGCTCCAGCCCTTGGATCATCTTCATGGCCCCTCTCTGGGCCCTCTCCAACAGCTCCATGTCTTTCCTGTGCTGAGTGCACCAGAACTGTACACAGTACTCTAGGTGCAGCCTCACCAGAGCAGAGCAGAGGGGCAGAATCACCTCCCTGGCCCGGCTGGCCTCACTTCTTTTGATGCAGCCCAGAACACAGTTGGTTCTTTGGGCTCCACCACACACTAGCAGCTCATGTGAAGCACTTAGCCACTCCCAAGTCCTTCTCCTCAGGGCTGCTCTCCAGCCATTCTTCCCCCAGCCTGTATTTGTGCCTGGGATTGCACTGACCCAGGTGCAGGACATTGCACTTTGCCTTGTTCCACTTCATGAGGTTGGCACTGGCCCACCTTTCCAGATGTCAAGATCCCTCTGGATGGCCTCCCTTCCCTCTAGGGTGTCAACTACTCCACACAGCTTGGTATTGTCAGCAAACTTGCTGCAGATACACTCAGTCCCACTGTCCATGTCTCCAACAAAGATGTTGAACAGCACCAGTCCCAATACTGAACCCTGAGGACCGCCACTGGTCACTTACCTCCACCTGGACACTGAGCCATTGACCACGACTTTCTGTGTCTGGCCATCCAGCCAGTTACTTATCCACTGAGTACTACAGCAAAATCTTAATATTAAGAGCTAAAATGGCCTAAGTGGAAATTTGCAGAGAGGAGAGCAAAAAGAGTAGTTTTTTTAACAACAGGAAGAGGTTTTAAAAAATATTTAAGATTGGGGAAAAATATTTTTACATCTGGTAGGTTGTAAAGCACAAGTTCTGGCTACATTTCTATAGTCTTTTGGAGAAACATATCTATCCAGAAATATAAGTTTCAGAAATAACTCAAAAATGGAACAGAAACAAAAATAATTACTGTAAACGCAGAACTGCAAAAGACAATAAATGATACGAAAGAACACAAACTCAGTGAACAAAATAACATGGGGATCACTACTTGTTATCAGAGCACTCAGAACATTGGTCAAGGCCCTGAAGCCCGGCCCAGTTAAGTAGCAGTGTGTATTGGGAAAACAGCCCTAAGCAGTAATACTTTACCTCAAGTGATCAGCAGGACACAACCGGCATTTCTGTCAACCTTCGAGGATGAAGGCTGTGCCAGGTGAGTCGCTTTACACTAGTCAATGATCTCAGCTTGTTACCTGCTTAGCTTTCAGAGCTAAATATGGAAGGAGGACACTGGGGCAGAGGACACTGCAGACCAGACTAGGCACAGAACCTGCAGCAGTGAACACAGGTAACTGTATTAGTACTGTTATGGGTCTCAGTGGGAGAAAGACGCATTTGATTCTTGAGAATTCTGTGGAGCGATGTTTATTTACAGTGCATACCAACAGGTATGATTTTACCAAACCTGAGTTAGGGAATTTACACACTCAGCTAATCCGAACTGGTGTAGCTGTACTTTCTGTGGCTTTCTGAGAACAACACATCTTATCTTGCCTTAAACACAGACTTGTTTCTTCTCAAAAAAACCACAACCAATCAACCAACAACAACAAAAACAAGCAAACAAACAAAATACAACAAAAAAACCTCCCAACGTCAACAAAAACCCAATTCAAAATCCCAAATAACTAAAATAGGAAAACCTACATTTGTTGTGAAAAAGTTTTATCTCATACAGAAGCTGCTTTTGTTTGTTTGGCATTAACAGTTAAACAGTACAGACCCCAGTCATAAATAGAATCTAAAGTGCAACTGCTCAGTCAGGACCTAGCTCCATCTCCACAGGCTGCTTAGGAAGTATAAACAAAAGAAATAAAAAAATTGTGCAGCTTTGTACCATTTCTAATCTCCTGAGTTTTTTGTTTGATCAATGCTTCATGACCACAATACTAAATGTGTTAAATGAGCAGTATTCCGGTTTAAATGGTCCTTCACAAGAGTTTGTTATCTTTTCTCTCAGTCTAAAAGAGCTTTCCTGTCCAGGTGGATGGAATCTGGCTTTCAATTTCAGTGCTTCTTCAGATAAATGTTTTTCTTGTTGTGGATTTTTGCTTGCTACAGCCCTGAGAGCTGTTCACAGGCACGCCTGTGGCCTCAGGGACTGTTTGAAAGCCAAATACTAAGGCCTGTGGAATTATCCACACTTTAGACTCCTTTCATTTATACTACTCAGTATGCAAACTGAATGAGACAGTATGATCAGGCAAATAATACTGTCAGGTTTAAAAGTAAGACAAGTCTTAATTATGGCATCCAGCTGATTTGAAAAAGAAACTGGGTACAGGTGTTAAGAAAAAGAAAACACAAGTAACGTGTCCAGTCCTACAACAAATTTAGGCTGCCTACAACAAATTTTATTTTCTGTATGTATCTGTGCCTTACTCTCCTTGCATGTTAGTTCAGGGTAATGATACGTACTTGGAGCAAGACACTGCTTGACACAGTTTAGAAAGAAAAAGTCAGCAAGAATTAGAAAATCTAGAAAACAGTAAAACAGTTCTGGTTAAGTTTCTGCTTTATTTTTATTTTTTGTTGTTTATTTACCCACATATAATCACAATAAGTTTCATTTTTCTTCCAACCCAATAACTACTTAGCTTAATTACAGTAAAGGCTAAATCTGCAAATAGGTCTCAGTGGAACATTTCCAAAGCTTTAATGTAAGACCACATCCACAGCTCCCTGCTGATTTTAGTGACCTCCAGATCAGATATTCTGTGATTTTCATCACTATATATTCCTCTCCTTTCGTTTATGGCATGTACTTGTTAGGTATTCATTTCCAACCTGACACAATAAGTAATACAAGAGTTAAGCTGGGCTTCTGCCAAAACCCACTGAAAACCATGGAATGATCTCACAGGGATTTGCCAACGATTTCAGCAAGTTTTGTGAAAAGACCTCTTTATGCCCACAACGCAGCTGAACATGGCATGAAAACCTGATCAATGTAGAATGAGCTCCAGGGCTCATGGCATACACCTTGCTGCACTTTGGACTACATGGACAGTCCAGCTTCCATCAGGGGAAGCTTCCTGACATGTGAGAAGTCAGAGGTCACTTTTGCCGAGGGTATAGGAGGGTTTGTAGGCTATTTCAGCAGTACCCTTTGAGACAGGGTCAGTCCTTCTTCGTGTGTTCCCACACAACTCAGCACAGGATGGCTCTGTTGGGAAGAAAGCCTGTGGATGGCCTTATAATAAATCATAGTGCAAAAGAATTTACAGTGTGTTATCTTTCTGGGCTCCACCACATTTTTTCTTTACTCAGCTATCTTGGGAATCTTGTTTTCATTGCTCTGAGGATAAATTACAATGCAAAGAAACTATAAAAACACCTCCGTCTTTTTTTCCCAGGCTTCTATTATTTTAATTCTTTAACATCAATCTGTAAAGAAACACAACAATGACATCAGAGCTAACCTAATTCCCACAGGTTTATTTTTTATGGCTATTTACTTAAGACAGTCTAGTATAGCCCATAGTTACATTGGCCTCATGGATACAGCTTTTTATAGAGACTGATACCTTGCTTCCTAAGGGAAAACAAGTATATACCTGGAAAAAAAGAGAGAGAAATTGGACAGAAAATTTCAAGTCCAATCCTTTATTTTGGTTGCTGTCGGTTCAGAAGTTACAGGCTTTTTCACCCACTTCGAGTCTGCCATAATCCTGAGAGATGTACTGCTCTCTCCACACCTGATACTCTGTTGGAATCAGCTGCCAAGCCTGCTTAAAGACAAGTCTTTCTGACAGAGGTGTAGTCTTGGAGGGACACATGCTTAACACAGGAACTTATGAGCCAAGGAATCTGGTGGATAGAAGCCATGCATAGAAAAAGAGACAGTGGGAAGAATAACCTGGATTACAGAAATCTTTAAAGTTAATGGAGGATATAACTGTCAATTGTCAAGTATTTTAACAAGCCACTCCTTGCAGTAAACGGCTTATTTCATTTGAAGAAAAGAAGTGAAACATTAATTCTAAAGACATACTATTTAACCGCTTTATCAAAAGATAAAGAAAACTTTTTTAAAGGTACCTTGATTTAATTTTTACTCCTCTGCTATATTCTAAGAACTAGCCAAACGTAACTCTTCTATCCCAAGCACAAACTGTTGTCACAGATTCCTTCCACAATGCTAGTATTATATCTCCTTTGCCTCTATTCACAGTTTTTCAAGGCACCTGAAACCAGTAAAGAACCCACATTCACTTTTTTAATCCCATCTATTGCACTGTCTGAATTACAGTATGTGTCTTTAAAGTGACCCATGACCAGAAAGGCTCAACTAACACAGTAATACTAGAAAATATTTGTAGCATTGGAGAAATATCTGGGGGCTATATCTGTAGCAATATCTAGGGACCCACTGTACTAGATACAGTTCCAAAGCAGCAGACCACCAGATCCCTGTAAAGCCAGCCTGCTAAATGGGAAAATGAGACATACACTTACCAACTTCAGAGGCTACTCTCTGCAGTTTTTCTAGAGTTCTGCTTATCATAACTACATTTAATCCACGTTTCGCCAGCTGCAAGATAGGAATATAAAATTTGTTAAAAAGCAGTAGGGTGGCAAAAATTTTTACAATTTTTACAATTTTGCAATAAAAAAAAAACACAATGGATTTTTTTTAATTGCTTTAATTCACCTGTTACCTGCCTAACAGGAAAACAACACATATTAAAACCAGGCCAAACAATACTCAGGCTTCTAACAGCCTTCCAAAACATCTCCTTCACTGTATAATCTTGGACCCCTACAAGAAAAATACACCAGACAACAATCAAACCCCAGTAATGTGAACAGAAATAATTAATCTGAGCCAATTTCAAATGAATGAAAGTTTGCAGGGTTTTAAAGCAACTTGACATTTCCTAGAAACACATTTCATTTTTACTTGGATTTGGGAGGCCAAATATGTCAAGGGCTTCCTAGTCACTTCACAACATCACCTTACAGCCTCACATTTTTTCATCCTGAGAAAACAGAACAAGCATATTGATTTGGAGGTTCAAGAGTATGAAAGTATTTGGACTTTATTATACTTTTTTTTAATAGAATAAAATCTTATGCAGGCCAGATGGATAAATTTTAGCTGTTTCTTTCATTTGATGTAAACTAAAACAAAACAAAACAAATAAGGAAAAAAGGTGAAGTCCTTGTATAAAAATTAAAAATACAACCTCACAAATGTAGATCCACAAAAACACTGGCAATAGCTTACATTTATAGCTGCAAACACTGTTTAACACAGTAGTCCATTTATAGTCAGTATAGTATTACCATGTGCAGAACAAATGCAGAACAAAAGGAGAATGCTTTTCTCCTGTTATTCCGAGGCCTTCCATTCCCACCAGTTAAAGAGTTTTAGGCAAAGCTTGAGAGAGAAATATGGCCTCATCTTGTGAAACAAAGTTACTAAAAAGCAAAATCTAAATGGAGTTGTGTGCATAAAGAAAGGAAAAACAAAGCTGAAACTAGAAAAATGCCCAAGAAAGCAAGGAGAAAGAGAGCTAAATTAGTCAACACAAAAGATAAACCCTATGTCATCTGGAAGTACCAGGTTTGCTTAGGAGAAGAAACTATCTGGTGAAGTCCACACACTGAAGACCCATTCATTTCCATAGCTGACTCCCTGCAAAGCTTTCTCATTAAGCCTATTTGAGGGGAAGAGTTTGTCCAGTTGGCCTCTTCTGAAACAATGCAGAGAATATTAAGGAATAAGGACCATTGTTAAGAAATTCACTATATCCAGAGTAGGAAGGATAGAGCATCTATTAAATGTATCAGCCAAGACGATTTGCATTTTCAGCACAAAGATTGTACTCACAATTCTGTGCTTTTGGAGACCCTCTCCCATAACTGATGGGTGCTCCAAAGAGATCTGCACAGACTTAGGCATTTGGGAGTTTTGAAAGCTTATTTTAAGGGCTCTGTTTTATGTTCTCAGGAAGAGAACTCTAATTGCCTACATACTGGCAGATTTCCCTTTGTCCACAATGAGCTTGACTGTTTCCATGGTCACTTGCTCCTTTCTGTCACTTGGCGGTTTATAGTTGGGGATTATTTTAATTTTTGTGCCTTCAGACCCAAAACTAAATATCAGCCATATCATATACAGAGTCATTTCTCAAGGCAAAAGTGACTAAATACCTGACTACTCTTTTTGCTTCCTTAACCACACAGAAAACCTGCATCCTTTTCAGAAACAGGTTTTACACAACATGGTAAGTACCATGAGGTTCAAAGGCACCCTCAAGTGAACAAAATGCACTGTGCTTAGAAAAGTATTTCCATGCCACCCACAGCAAAGGTAAAATCAGTTTAAACACTACCGTATTTAAAATAAAAATAACTTTCAGCATAGAAGTCTTTAGTACAAAGAATTTTCCTAAAATAAAAAGGCTTTGACGTGAGAGGATGGCATTTCCCCTCTCAGTTAAGAATAAGCACCGGCTCCCAGCAGTGTAACGTGAAGCTGCTTGTGCTAGGAAATCCTGACTCCAAGTGGCAAAGGACTAAAATGCTTCAGAACCTCTCGACCTACTAAAATCTAAGATCACCCACTCCAGTCATAAGGACTTATAACAACCTAGTCTTTAGAAATTGGGCTAATAATGAAGAGAGATCAAGCAGGAGCTGCGCTATGAAATCTCAGAGCCATTGTTAACAAGTTCACATCAACATTAACTTAGTGTAAAGTCACTCTGCATTTTCTAGCAAGTTTGAAGCTCAGCCTGAGGTGAATTTTTAAACAATAAATCTTCATCAAAGGCAAGACACAGGTCCTAGATTCAAAGAATGCATGTAATAAAGAGAAACTGGTTATATTGTACACAAATGACTAGATATGATGCTTTATGGAATCTGTTGCTGCTTACTGTAAATTTCTACCTATTACAAAAGAAATTCTTCTCTTTCCTCCAGAATAGTGCTTCACTCCTTTTCTTTCCTTGCCCTGGGGTTGAGACCTGTAAGGTCTCTATGATTCAAATCTGCCAACCCTTTTTGGTCCACCAGACTAGGGCTGAGATGACAGGACATGAGGGTTCTGCAAGCCTTCTGCTAGCTCTGCACCTGTGCAATACAAGTAGAACAGCACTACTTACAGGAATAAATCCAGGACCATGTGGATAAATTAGACTACATGAGCAACTGGAGCAGGAAAACTCTGATCCTATTTTAGCTTGTATTATATTGCTGCTAATATTACACATAATTTTCAGGAAATGAAACAAAGATTTAAGATTTGAGAAACTGTTGTATTAATGAATGAATTCAGTGCCTGTCTCAAAATAGTCTGCTAAAACACTCATTTAGACACAAGTACTAGACTGACTTAGAAGAGTTACGGACTATTAACAATAACAAAAAGTGACCATGCGAGCCACCAGCATCCTGCTTGTGCCCTAGCATCAGATAAGAAGTGTGCAGAGGTCAAACCATATGTCTCTGAGTATGGCATGGCCTTGTCCATAAACCCAGTATGTTTGAGGTGCTAAGCCAATACCATATGCTAAAGCACATCTGTAGTTATTACATCAGAAAAACAGAACAAACAAGACTGTGCCAGTACCTGAAAAGCTAACAGGTGAGTAGAGATGTGACAGCCAAGCAGCATGCTCACAGCTGACTTACTTTTGTTCCTTGTTAAAAGGATGGTTAATGGTGAGCCTAAATGCCCTCCATCCCAAGAACCAGTGGACAAAATCTAACAGAAATCTTGGCTTTCGAAATAAGTATAGCAAAGTAGATCCCAAATCCCAGTACTCTGACATCACCACAATCACTTAAAAGTCATTATCTTTATGCTTAAGAAAGTCAGTAATTCAAAATCAACCTGATGTGCTAGAAATACTGACAAATACTTCATGGAAGCTTGGACCTGCATGCAGAAATGGATAAGTTCCAGTCGTGTGTGTGTATTTTTGCCTCTCAACACAACGTCAGAAAATGAAAGGTACAATAATTAGCTCAGATAAATCTGCATCCTGTCATCAACAAAGTACTATTCTGAGATCTCAGAGCTGCTGGGCTCTTCACATAGCCCCAGTCAACTCTTGAGCTTAACAGATTTTGCAGAGACCTGTATTTAGCTGTAAACAAAGGTACTGAATCAGTAAATATTGTAATCTTTCCCTGGACCACAGTTTGCTGGGTTTTACTCAATGGACCACCTAGTAGCATTTCCACATAACACACTGAAGAGAGAAAGCAATATCCCACTGGCCTTCCAGAACACAAGAACTGCTCTCCTTAGACTCCTATACCATGTGCTACCAAAAGTGTGGGGCACTTACATTAGTTTGCTCATAACATTCGTTATGAGCCCATGTGTGAGGTCAGGATATCAGAAAGGGATTAATCACCTGGTGTCAGAGCTCAGACTAAAAGAACAGACACTGTGCCCCTCAAACAAGGCTTGACTTCATATCAGCCCACAACACCAGAGGGACCTATGCCAGAAGAACATGAAAGAATTTTGTACCCGGACATCAGAGGAGCAAGAGAATAGTGCTGAGCCAGAAACTCCAAAGGTACACAGACATTAAAACAGCAGGGTCAGATTTATTTATCCACAAGTCACACACAAGTGAGTGCTTTGACCCCAGCCAGCAAGATAACATGCCAAGCTATGAGCTCATGTGGTGTGTGTTTGGAATCTGCCCCATAGAGCAGTCGCTGACCACAGTTTCAATCTAAGGGACCACCTCAGGAGGAAGGTATGTCTCAGCATGAACAAAGATGGCTCTCAATCATCCCATAAAAGCCAAAAAAAATGAACAAACCTTGTACAAAATCTAGCCAGTTCCAACCAAGTTAAAAAACAAAATAACCAATAACAAAACACAAGCAAACAACAAACCAAACCAAAGGAAACAACAAAACAAAAACACAGTACTTGTTCCATTTTTTCTAGTGGTAAAAAGCAGCCAATCCACATGCTGTAACTGGCCTTTTAAATGGGATTTTCTCCTGCATAACAAAGAGAGTACAAAGGAAGCAGAACAATGACAGAGGCTCTGGTCTAGACATTCACAAGTGCCTGCAGCCATCACACGGATAAAATATCACCAGGTGCCCATACACAAAGTAAGTTCAAACAAGCTGCATGTGCACGTGACTACACCCAGAAGTGTGGTGCTAAATAAAATGTTGAGTCATTTCTGATGTTTCCTCCCCATGTCTTGACCCCATTCCATATCACCCTCACTTCAGTATACATCACATCCTACCCATTTGCTCATCACTACAGCAACTCAGAAAGAAGACAGAAGGCAACATTTTCTCTTCTTTCCCACAGAAGAGTTTGTGATCTTTATCACAACTGTGCCAAATGCTGTGCTATAATAGCTGCTATTTGTCTTTGTACTTCGTACATTCAATGCATTTTGAAAAGAAGTTATTGTATTGCCACTTCCATAATGAAAATCACGATGTAGATGCTTAAACAATGCATACTCTTAAAAAGACTAACTTAAAAATCTTGTAAATTAATTAAAAAACAAACTAATTAACCTTTCATGTGAGATACCTTTTATAATTTATGAGCACACAACATCACATCTGAACTCTTGCTTATTACAGGCTATTGCTAATTTTCACCTGGTCACCTCAGCTCTGAAGACAACTCATGTTTCATTGCTGTTTACCTTCTACAAAGGGATCCAGTTTTTAATGAAAGTGCCAAGGAGAAAATCTACCATCCAGCCACCATCACCAATAGCAAGGCAGGTGCAAGACAGTACAAAGCCACCCTGCCTTCAGCACTGATTAACACAGGTGAATAGAGGGACCGCTGTAATAGCTGCACAGTGGCAGCTACAGGGTCAGCACAGAGCTTCTCTCTCCTCCTGGAGGTTCCTAGAGCTATAGACTCTTAATTAAACCATTAAGTTTACTTATAATTTCCCTGTGTTTTATATTATTTTACACAGATTTCTCCTTCATTTGTTGTTTGAGATACAGCTTTAAACATGTGTTTGCAAGTGCAAAAGCTAGCGAGATTAGCTGCGAAACTGGGTAAAAAAAGACACTGTAGTTGACTTCCTACCCAGGACAGAAAAAATAAGAGCTTCTGAATTACTCAATATTTCCTTTTTATTTTCTTGGTCTGACAAAACCACTGGAGCATGCATGACTTTCCCCTGAAATGTAGCACCAGTTTTCTTTCAGAACTTGATTAATGTTATTCTGCTCATAGAGATGAAACGCTAATCTATCTTACCTCAAAGGAATACGCTTTTCCAAGCCCATCTCCTGCTCCTGTGACCACTGGAGAAAGTAAAAAGAAGAATCAGGATTACATTTGTAGCTCTGATTGAGCTTATTCTTTCTTTAATTCTTTAATCTTCATAATCGGTGTTACCTGAACATTGTAGCCTAACCAGTCCTACTAAACCCCAAAACCTTCCTTTTGAGAAATTTATTTCCTTATGACTTTTTCACGTTACTTCATTTGGCACTTCAAAGCAAACCCCTCCTCACAGTAACCCATCTGACGCAGTAGTTAGGTTATTACTCTGATTTTCAGTGGGAGCCACTCAACAAGTCAATCGTCTAAGAGGTGGTAGAATTTTCTTCGATATACATATTTTTACAAGTTCCGGTCTGCAAGTCTTTCACTTATATGCTGGTGGCAGAATAGTAGGTGATAGGGATGAAGTGGTGACTGAAGCTGATATAACACATTCTCATACAAGAAATCTGTATGTAAGGAAACATCACAGCAGATCTACCATCATCTGTAAAAGGTTTTTCCTTCAGAGCTGTCCTATTACTTTTCCCTTTAGATTTAGTGTTAATGGGAAAGCAAACAAACTTCAGCATTTTTATTCACTCTGAACTTCAAACAGTATGCAAACAGATACTAAAGAGGAACTACAGAAAGAAAATCCTTATCACCCCAGAAATAAAGGAAAAAAATCAAGAAAACACTAAAGCAGATTCAGTTTTCACAGTAAAATTGAAAATTATTTGGTATCTAAAAATGTGGATTGACTTCCAAATTGCAAGAGAGACTGGGGAAGCAAGGTAATTTTGAATGGTTAGGTTTGTTAACAACACAAGAGCAATTACTCTCTCATTTCACAGAGAAAAGACTCCACAGCTAAGCAGCAGTAGCTCCTTATCTTTTCACAAAGAGACTCCACGGCTAAGCAGCAGCGGATCTTTAGCTTTCTAGAAGACCCGCAGATGAAAAGCAAGAGTCTGTTGGAAAAAAGCTTCCACCTCCCAAATTTTAATTTTCATGATTCTCAGGATCTTGTGTGTCATGTGTTATAGCAAATCATCCAAGCATTATTAATTTTACTGGCCCAAAAGACCTTATGTTTATAAAAGGAGTGAGCATAAAATATCTGCTTCAGTGGAAACAAGGATTTTACAGAAATACCCATGTGCTGCTCCTCATTCATGCATAGAATGGAGGTCCTTGCCTCACTTAAATACAAATCAGAGCTATGTATTGCTTCAGAGGCAGCAGGTACTCAGGCAGGTCTTTGGCAAATGGGTGGATTTTCTTTCTTGTTAATCCACTGTGAGATGTGCTTGTTAAACATGTACTCAGCCCAGACACATAATGCAGAGAAAAGAAACGAAGCACAACAGTACTGTTTGTGTCACTTCTTAAAATGATGCCACCATCAGTGACATCTGTAGCCCAGGAACTCAGACACTGCAGTACCTGTTCGTTCTTGCTTAATACTGATAAACTGAAGAACTTAAGAAAAACATCAGTGATCAGGAGGCAGAAGGTGGTGTTTACTAAATTGTTTCTGTTATTCTATGAGAATGCATAATACCCGTTTAAAAGTATTGCCAAGTTGCAGCCTTTCAACTTTTTAGGCTTGAGCAGATCTGGCTCATTAATGATACCATTAAGGATATGTCACCAATTCAGAAACAACAAACTGGAGCAAATTCACCTGGAACAAAGAAAAGTTGCTTGAAAGAGTGAAGACCTTATGCAAGACGTACACTAGTTGCTTCACGTATCAGAAAACTGAGGGTATAGGCAATGCTATTTCAACCAAACATTTGCAGTGCAGAAAAAGCACAAGTAGGCACGGGGATAGAATTCTCATCTACACACCAGATGCGTGCGCTGTTACCAGTTTGACTACTTTTCTATTCTCCCCAAGTATGCAAAACCTTCAGGTTCATAAAACCAAAGTTAATAGGATAACACAAAAACAAATTAAGCAAACTACATCTAACAGAAACTGTATTTTGCTCTGAAGGGACAGGGTAAGGAAATGCAAGGAAATATCCCAATTAGTAATTTAACAATCCATCATTCAGTTTCAAGGTGAGAAATTTTTCTTTACCTGCCCATTCTCCCAGTGATCGAAAGAAAGTCTGAGGCAAAGCACTCCAGATATGTGCGAACATACACTTCATAAATCTGATGCATTTTACCAGAATACAGAAACAGATCAGACCCCCAGTAAAAGTGAGTAGCTGATGCTGGAATGCTTCCATGGCAAGCGAAGGCAGTGAGCTAGTATGAATCAGTCGCTCTCTCCCCGGGAACCGTCTCTTTTCAGCACACTGCTAGTCTCTGAGCACTGGGAGAGAAGTGAGAATTCTAATCAAATCACGTGATTTTCTTTTTCCAAAGCATGTCCAGGGCTTAGATTAGAGTAACATCTCTACACTACACCCACATTTGTAAACTACTGAAAAAATCTAAACTAAACAATGATTTCTGGTGCTTGCTTTAGAGAAAAGGTTTCACTTCTTTTCTGGAACTTACCCATGAACAAAAATTAAAAATACACTTTTAATGTCATTGTTCAGAATTATTAGAGACTAAAGACGAGTCTAAACGAAAACCCTGGGTAAGAATCTCCAACTCTTGGGGATAAGACACATCAGCACTACTTTTTACGCCACAGAAGAGTTAAACTCTAGCTCAGACACTTCCAGGGCAAGTTCATGCTGAACTTGCATGGAGGTCAGAAACACAGATTTATCTACAAATTCAAAGACAAAATAATGAAAGGTTACTAAAGCCACATCATTATTTTTATATAAAGAAATGAAGTTTATATAACTTTTCAAAGAGCTTTTTGAAAAGAAGTTAGTATCATTATTCCCATTCTACAAACGGTGCCATTATGGCATGAACAAGTATAGTCATCTACTTACAAGGGAAAAGGACTTTCAGCTTTTCTGAACACAGTATATTCAAACTAGTATTAAAGTTGAGGACAGGTACCAAAAACTTAAAAAGAAAAAATTGTTACAAGAACACTATGATTGTATGATCTTGCTGCAAGACAAAGACAAAATCAGATTCAAGTGATTAAGAAAAACTAAACGTTAACACAGAGAATTTTTCAGGCAAGGCACAGAGACAGACTTCACTCTTCTTCATGGTGGCAATTTGAAATATTATCTGTTTTTTAAATACAAGTTTAAACTGACAGAAGAACTGAAAGAGGAATACTGACACACGTGCACGTAGGATAAGTGAAGTTTGTCTCTATGCTTTGATTATATTCTTCACATTTAGCACAATTATCTTCAAAATTAAACTTAAACCTGACATCTAGAAACCTCCAAATGAAGAGCAGTGATTTATGTCAAGTGCCACGTTACTGACACCTTCAGCCATAAAACCACAATATGCAGATGTCTTAAAAGATTACATTAGAAATACAAGGAATGTTAGTAGTAATTGTAACAAAAAGATACAAGTCATTACCATCTCAGCTTAACAATCCAGTTTCCTCACATATAAATTCTCTTAAAATTTCAGTATGATGACTGTTTTCTGTACTGTAACACCTCGTTTTACTCCGTATGTTAGGCCAGTCAGATCAAGAAAGACCAGAGTACTAATTTTTACAAGAATTTACATAAAATCACAGATTTTCCCAAGAATCACTCACTGTTTCAATGAATACTTTAAATCTGAACAAGTTGCACTATGTTCTTAATATGCAACAATGACGCCAAATACATCCTTTAAATGAAAAAGAAACAAACCCACTCCTATTTGAAGATGGAGCGTAAATGCAAACTTCGACAGCTGCCAGGCTTTCCTTTTGCACCTCCAGTTCTGCTCATTCCTTGACATTTTCTTTTCTGGCTCCTGGTAACAAGAGATATGCTTACACTACTTCACGAGCCTAATATCTGTAATTTGGGCTGGAATACTGAAAATTCTTATGAATGTGAAGAATTGTTCATACAGCCCAGTGTAAGTTTTTTTCCTGAGGTATGGCTTCTCTGACTTTCACAGGAATCATTGCAAGAACCTTACATGTTCTGGGTGACCACTATACTTTCTCACTCTTAATCTCATTCCATTACAGATAGCCTGCTGAAGAAAATCCAGTATTTCTTAAAGGCAGTCTATTTAACAATTCTTTTACATATTTATTCTGAAGACTAGTATTTTCTTCAGCAATTTTTATCACTTTTTCCAAAATAAAGAAAATTAAGTATCACACAGCAAATAAGCCACCCAATTTTGCAGCTGGTTTAGTATTTAATTAAGCTAATAGGAAATCTGTAGAAAAATAAAGCTAGGACTACCCAAAGATGATTCCTATGAGAAATCACTACCTTTTTAACTGAAAGACACAATTACTGAAATTTTGAATGAAACAGACATCTTCATAATTGCCTAAATTCTAACATGAGAACTGTGCATGGCTGAGCCCATATTTCCAGAGTTTCAATCAGCAAATTTACAGGAATCAGTATTATCACTGCAGATACAGAGGAAAATAGTAAGCAATGGAATCTGAGTTGCTTTATGAAAGGATGCCAACACTTGCAAGTTCTTCTAGATAATACCTACTTTTGGTTATTCCTAAATCCATATTTTAAATTATTCTGAGTAATACTCTCATAAAGACTTTGGGAATCACGTTTTTATTTTAGGTGAGAAGTCTAGGTCTGAAGACTTAAAAAATATGACACAAACAATGAATTAAATAAGATCACTTCCAGTACAGTATAGTACCTAATGAAACTACTTCCAAGCACAGTACAGCAGACGGTCGCAGAAAAAGCAAATATTATGCTCTCCATGTGTGCTTAAAAGTATTTCATGTGTCCATCCACACAAAACCAAAAAAACATTGTTGAAACTACAATTGGTATCTCTTTATTTATAAAAGCTACAGGAAAATATTAATTAAGTAAATGGCTACAATAGCTCTCCCTTTGTGGGAACCACATCTTATTTAGCTGGTGCCGTTATTTGTACATTCGAATTGCCATTAAATGGCTCCTGTAACATTTTCATAATTAATGAAAACCTTCCAATGCCTTGTCCCATTGCAGAGATGAGGTTCAATAATCAAGATTCTGGAGGTAGAGATGATCTGGAGGAAAGAGCACTCCCACAAAAGAATATGCTGAAAAATATAAAAGACTTTGTAAGGATAAAGGAAGTCTTTAAAAACAGATCTCTCTAAAATATCTGCAGCAACGCCTTCACTTTCCAGCTCTTCAACAGGTTTAAAACTGAAGTCACGTCTCTTAGCCAGCTGTGAAAAACTGAATAGTCCAGACTTCCGTTCGCACTTTGACTTGCCCTTAAATTCCACTCCTATTATTTGCAGTTACTCCTCCTCTTGCCATTCAAATCCACACAAGCAGTGGACAGCCCAGTCATTCCCTGAAAATTCTGATCTGAGCTTCTCATATGTTTCTTAGACCTCATAATTCAAGTGTTACACACAAAGTAATTACAGATTTAGCTGTATTTTAATTCAAGCAAGGATAAAACTAGTCATTAGATCACCCTGGTTCCATGTCATGGTCTTCCTAAATCTTCTTTTGATTGTTTTTAAAAGTCTTGGCTCATGCTTGCAGGGAGTTATTCTGCTGTCCTCCAGTGCTATCATGCTTCTATGGTGTTTTCAAAGATTAATACTATATCCTCATGAGACACAGGTAATCATTATGAACTGTACTTTCAGAGAAGGAAATAAAGATACAGAGCAGTGCCATTATTGTCCCAGATCATAACCCAAACAATCAGATTCCAGACTTTTTTTTTAAACCTCTGGACCAGCACTACCCATTGTAGCAAACCCTTGGGTTTGTTATGATTTCTTACTCTGAATTGTAAGCACAAACTAGTACCAGATAAGCTCTTACTGCATGTATAAGACACAACAAGACACTGACCCTTTCTCCTCATTTAAACACAAGTTGGCCTTCCAGATATGGATCAGTTTCCCCTATATAGTTTGTATATAGTAGTGTCACTTTTCTGCAGCATTAAAAAGATGAGATCGCACAATAAAAAGGTGAATATGCCTAAATAAAAATAGATTTACATTTGTTATCTTTCTTTATTACCTGTCTGGTACTGACTTGTACACAGAAAAATACCTTGCAATATAAAAAAATCTTCTCTTAATATCCTTCTCTCCTTGATCCTGCAGCAGAGTTATGAGGGTTCACTTATAACAGTGACAATTGCAGCAGAACATGATGATGTTACTGGGGGTGAGGAAAAGCTTAAGAGAGAATGCCTAAACAATATATATCAAAAACACACTAGGTCATATCCTGAATTCTTCAGTCAACACACAGAGGACAGTCTTGGGGCATATATTCTCTTAGTGCCGTATTTTCTACAGTCACTTGCAAAAGAGCAAAATCATTCTGGATCACTAGTATCTTTCATCCGTTCACTAATATCTAAGACTACAAATTGCATAAGGCAAGGGCAAATCAAGCCTCATAATCTTTACAGGCTGTTTTGCCTCAGAGTGTACTGGCAGACACTGAAGCAGAACAAATAGCACCAAAGCACAGGTAAATTAAGAAATTCACAACTTGAGATTTGCTTATGGCATTCCTTCCTATGAATTTGATTGTGGTATATATATATATTTAAAAAAGCTAAAACTAAACTTGTCCACATGTAAAAATCATGGTGTGTGAGAATATTTTTGAACCAATGAGCTGTATGCACAACCATGCCAATTGAGGTAGATTTAGTTTTTCCTGTTTCAAATACATTCCACTATGTTCTTATTCCAATTCTCAGCAATGCTAAGCAAACTTGTATCTTCAGTCTCCTTCAAGGCAGGCATTTCAGCTAATCCTTGACTCTGGAAGTGTGTTCTCTTCATCCTCAGTTTGTGTAGGCTTGCTGGTTCCTCTTAAGGTTAAAAATGAGTATCTCAGTCCTCCTGCCATACTAAAGAAAAGAGAATAAACAGAGATATCAGAGATACTTGGCTTTGTCTATACTACTTTGTAGATATGTACCTTTTCATCCAAAGAATTAAAGAATGGCAGCTAGCACAAATTAGGAGTGCCTCAGAGCTATGCAAGCCATCTGAGAAACAAACCTCATGTCGACAAAGTTCAATTACCAATTGCCTCAACCAATTCATACATCAGATGTACCAGTCCATGCAAACACACAAGGTAAACACTCATGACTCATAACTTGTACTCAACAGGCACAACTCATTCAGTGTTCTCACTTCTTCACCAGT